CTTAAACTGGTTTATGTGTAATGTCTGTTCCTAGCCCAGGTGTTTGGGTTGGGATAGTAGGTCAAGAGTGGAGAATTACTTCCTTGTCATGATCCAACCATTTTCTCCTTTGATTTTTTAGAATTTAAGAGCATGCTGCAGGATAGCCCGAGGGGTGTCTCTCCAATTACTCTGTTCAGTGATTTCTCAGAGAATGCTTGTGTGTCCTTCAGCACTGGTTGCTTAATTGTACTGCTGTTGACTGCATTGGCACAAAAACAATCCCCAAAAGAAGACTGGCATTTTTTCAGTGTTAATTTCAGACTGGCAATATATTTATCATGACACACAGGTTTGAGACTATATTAAAAATAAAGTGCTTCATTGCATCTGCTGTCATTTTTATTATATTGTATGATGTGTGTATGTAACTAACAAATTGCATCTGATTTTTTTTCCTGCCATTTAAAGAAATTGTACTTGAAAATTAATTAGACATTAAATTTGGCATACTATTAAAATGGATTTTTAAAAGACTTCATTTCTTTCTTTCTTTCTCTCTTAGGGAACTCTTGCAGTAATCCTATAGAAGTAACAGCCCTTTATTCATTTGAAGGACAACAACCAGGCGACTTGAAATTCAAAGCTGGAGACAAAATCCTCGTCATAACTAAAACAGATTCACAGTTTGACTGGTGGGAAGGAACTATAGAAGGACAAACTGGCATCTTCCCAGCCAATTATGTTACCTTAAACCACAACTAAACTATAGTCAATGGCCTTTTTTTCCTCTGAATTCCTTTTCTTAAATGTACACTGGATAGTGGAGACCTGGTTTTCAATGAATTTGTATTTTTTTAAACAAATTTTCCTATAACATTTTTGTTCTGTTTCTAATTTCAGGAACCCTTGATAGAATTGATTTTTAAATGGGAAAGGTTACAACTATAAATTCAAACTAGACATATTAGAAAAATATTTTGATTTTGATAAGTATTTTATTTTTATCAAACGTTTTGTTTCTGTAATCAGTGATAAATATTCTATAAATTCTATCAATTAATTGTAATTTACTAGGTTCTCAGGAAATGCTCAGGCATTTATTTCAGGGAAACTTGTTTAATTATATGATGGAAAAATACTCCCTTTGTGTCCTCTAATACATTCATTTCCAGTTGTACTGGTTAACTGTATAATCATTTTTACAATGTTTTTATCAGTTGGTTGTTTAGTTATAGTAGAGAGAATTCTAGTGTTTTCTAAACAAGGTCTTATAGAGCCCTCCTCATCATAATGTCTGAGCACTTTCCAGTTTTTTATTAAAAGATGCTACCAGTGCCTGCCCAGTGGTCCATTCTTTCCTTACAGGAAGAAGTATTTTGTAGTATTTGGTTTAACAGAGTTGGTTTTTACTTCAATATTATGTATATTCTGTTATGTATTTTATATAACAAGAGGCTAGGGTGAAAATGTGCACATCGCATGGGGAGTGGAAGATGAGACTTTACAACAGTCCTCAGCTCCTGAAGGAGTTCATTTCATAGTCTGGAAATAACCACTGAGAAAAATCTCCTTCTCCCTCTCTCATGTTCCCTTTACTAATGTGTTTTGTCTTGGTTCTTTGAAAGAAAGCAAAATGCAAAATTATACAATTCTCCTGCTCTCCTTTAGAATAATAATATTTATGCATTCAAGTAATATAATGTAATTATAATAATAGTAGTATACATTCCAGAAAGACATTGTGGGGGAAGGGGAGGTAATAAAATAACTGCCAGAACAGAAGAAACATTTTCCAAAAACGTGTGAGAAATGTGTAATTATATTTGCTACTTCTAAACCACCGTTCATATATAGAAGGTAAGCAATATTGTTCCCATCTTGCAGATGCATGAAATTTTCCTACAGAGAGATTCTGACATGCAAGATAATATAGCAAGTTAGTTGAAGAGACCGAAATAGAACTTGGATCTTTGGTCCTGTGGCCCCGGTA